TTTGCTTAAATATAAGAAGAAAAAAGCAGCGCGGCGGGTGTAATGGGAACCAGGTGGGGCCCAGCAAAGCGGCCCCGCTCCCAGCCGGGGGGAACAGGTAGAAAAAGCCCCGGGGGGTACCGGGGGCACCGGGCCGGTCCCTCCACCGTGCTTACCTGCTGCCGGTGCAGCAGAGGGGAGGCTGCTGTTCCCGGGGGGGGCCTTCTGCTAACGGCCGGGGAGGACTACCCGGATGTCTCCCCTGGTTCCCGGGAGTCCTTTCTGTGCCCCCGTCCCTTCACTAATGATCCCTTTGAGTTCTCCTTTCCCCTCCCGGTTAACCCAAGAATTGTACAGCTGTTCCCCAGCTGCTGACTTCCCCAGCACCGCCAAATCTTTCAGGGGGTGTCAGTTTAGGAAGGGGGGGGGGAAATATCTATATCTTTCCTTTTTCCCATCCCCTTTGTCCCCCTGCAACACCGTGTTTGTTTAACTACGCACCCATATCCTGCTCCCTTCCTGCCTTCTCCTTCTTTCTGGCCATTTATTTATTTGTCTCCAACACCGACACTCGGGGGTTGCTTGGATGTGCAGCACATTGCCTTTGAAAAAGGGGAAAACCCCCAAACCCTACGCATTTATTGGGTGGCTTTGTGCAGTGGGGGGTTTTTATTTCAGTCATTTTTCCTTATTTTTGGTCACATTTGCATTTTTTGCCTTCGTTCTGCTCCTTGGTGGGGTTTGGTTTTTATCATTAATCACCCCCGGCCTGGTGGCCGAGCCCTTCAGAGGACAAAGCAGGGAGGAAACAGTAATTTGGCCTCATCCTTTCGCTGTTACCCACCGCCGGGCATGTAGACAGGTCGGTACCGAGAGTGACAGGGATTGATCACCCCCCCCACCCTATCCCAGATAACATTTTCCCCTTAATTTGAAGCAGCTGGACCTCGGCTCTCAGCTGCACGCTGTAACCCCCAAATTGCCTTAATTAGGAAACAAGGAAACAACCAAAAATCAAAATTGAAAGTCCGGAAAAGGCCGTGGCGGGAACTGGTTTGGGGGGTGCAGAGCCCTGGCTGGGTTTGCAGGGATGAGGACCCAAACCCCGTTCCACTGGGATGTGATGGCTAATGGGGCCGGGAAGGAGGATCCATCCCAAAGGAGGCGATTTTCCCCCTCGGCAGCCCCACGCGCTGCCCCCAAGGCGAGGCCGTGGGCCTGATCCTGCCCCTCTGAAGGGGCTGGTGGTCTCTACCTGCAGCACACCCAAGTTTCTGAAATAGAGCTTGGGGTGGGAGTGAAACTAGGGCAAAACCCAGCATTTTCAGGTCATCTCCTTCCTGGGTGAATCCCCTGTGTCCCCCCAGCTGTTGAGGTCCCCAAACTGTCCGGTCCCCCCCCATCTGCTAGGAACCCCCTCAATCCTCCCGGTGAACCGATTGAGCTCCTTGGGGTTCCAGCAGCACACAGCATCAGCTGGAGCCGCTGAGCTCCATGTATCCTCACAGGGAGACAAACAACCCTCCCGGGGCACAAAGGTGACCTCCGAAACGCGTGACAGTGACTTATCTCTTGGACCCATTTCACAAGACACCCCAGAGATGCAGCAGCAGCAAGGGTAAGGGGGAGAACCCCCAAATTTCTTGCTCTGGCCCCACAGGAAGGTGGGGAAGGGGAGCTCTTCTCAAACAAAAAGCGGGGGAGTTTATTTTTCACTCCTTTCCAAATGGTTTCCTGAGAGTTACAGCTACAGGGAGGTGCTGGCCCGGGGGCAGGCAGAGGCTGCCCTTGAACCAAGCTCAAGTGCGGGGGTCTGGATACGGCCCAGCACCGAGGTGGGCTGGGGTTACTGCCGGAGCCGATGTCTCTGCCCTGGGTGCAGCTGAGCAGGATGGAGGCGTCAGCCCATGCTGGAAGGGAGCGGCAGGAGAGGGACAGGAGAGTTGGGCAAAGCCCTGTCTGCAAAACGACTCTGCGCCCGCCTTCTCTGTCGTCGTCCCCCACCCCATCCCTAAGTAGCAGCACCGAGACGGTCCCTGAGTTTTTTTTTGTCCCTGAACACCCGCTGCGCCAGCCAGGCTCCCCCCCTGCACCCTCGGGGAGAATTGCCTGCCCACAGCTCCCACCATGAGTGGGGATTTTGCCCTCCCCGGGGCTGGATTTGACCCGCTGCATGCCCGTGCCGAGCCCCTTTCTCCAGGGACTGTACCCCAACATCCTCCTGGGATGAGGGGGACCGCACGGGGAGGGGATGCAGAGCTCTTGGCTTCATTATCACCATTAACACCACCCTGTCTTTGCCTCTCCCCCTGCCAGGCAGCGAGAAGGGATGCAGAGGCGGGTACCAGGTGATGCCCGCAGCCTGCCAGGCTCCCCTGAAAGCCCCGGGGGAGCTGGGGTGCCCGCTGGCAGCACCCCTGGGCAGCCTACGGGAACACAGGGTCCCTGAGCTCCCTGAGCCCCTGGGCAAGAGCAAGAGCAAGAAGAGGAGGAACAGGACTACCTTCAGCACGTTCCAGCTGGAGGAGCTGGAGAAGGTCTTCCAGAAGACGCATTACCCCGACGTCTACACCCGAGAGCAGCTGGCACTACGGACGGACTTGACTGAAGCCAGGGTGCAGGTAAGGGCGAGAAGAGGCAAAATTTGGGCTGTCACTGCCAACCTGCCCCCTCCCAGCAGCCCTTAACGTGATCCCCCCCTGCATCCATCATCCCCAGCCTCCCTCCCCACCTCAACCCCCAACTCGGCTCCCTCCAGCCCAGGACTGGCTGCGATGGAGCTGCCATCCCAGGAGAGGAATCCCCGGGGACCTCAGCGCGGATGGGGCTGGGAGTGGCGCATCCCGGGACACAGGGGCAGGATGAGGCCCTCCCTCGCCATCCTGGCTTTGCCGGCATCATGCTTGCGTCAGGCCAGTGAGCTCTGAGCTCTGCCCAGAGGCGTCTCCGTATGGTTTGAGGCTCCCGGTGGGAAGAGGCAGCTGGAGGGGACACCCAGCAGGGAGAAAAGTGAAGGCAGGCGGGTAACAAAGCGAGCAGGGAGCACCCATTGGGTGCTGGGTGTGGATTTAGATTAAATTACCTGCAACCATGAGAGCCCCGTGGCAAGCATCCCGGTAGCACAGCCTCCTCTCTGGGAGATGCTGCTGGAGCCAGCACCACCCCAGCCAGCGCCAGTCCCCAGCCCCAGCCAGCAGCATGGGGGGGGACACACACAGGCAGGTCAGCAGGACCCAAAAAGCCTCATTCTGCATTGAAATGTGGGGTAAATGAGGTGCAGAAGCACAGGGGAGAGAAAAGGACCATCAACGGAGCAGGACTGCTCATTTTCCAAGAGGGATAAGAGATTTATTTCTGCTCTTGGTAGAGAAAAAGGAAGAGCTCAAACAGGAGTGCCCACAAGGGCAGTTTCCTCCATTCATCTCCAGTTTACCGGGATGCTGGGGCAGCACGTTAGGGTTCTTTTCCTGCTGGGAAGATGAGCATGGAGCTGGGCAGAGGGCTGTGCATCTCACCCCAGGCAGGCAGGGGTCCCTGTGCCTCAGCCCCCTCCTCCATCCCCCCAGGTCTGGTTCCAGAACCGACGGGCCAAGTGGCGGAAACGGGAACGTTATGGGAAAATCCAGGAGGTGAGAGATGCCGCGACGGCTGCCTGCTCCAGCCCTGTGCCCCCGCCCAGGGCAGGGGTCCCATCCCACAGCCCTGTGGTTCCATCCACCCTTGGGAAAAGCACGTGGCCCCGGATGGAAAAGGGGGAAAAGATGCAGCATTACATTTTGCCACATGCTGGAAGATGCTGCTTTACGTCCCCCTCCATCTCCCGTGGGAACATGCACTTTGAGTCAGGTTTTGGGGGGTCTCCCCCCAAAACAAGCCTCACATCCATCAGTGCTTCCTGCCTCTCCTCCTTTTCTACAAAACTCCTTTCTTTTCCCCTCAACATTGGAAAGTGTAAAAATACTTTAAAACTCAGCTTCATGTGCATCCCCAATGCTGCACTCTCCCACAGCCGCCCAGCACAGGGGGAAGGAAGATTTTAATCAGGATTCAACACAAATCCCTCCAGGCAATTAAAATAAAGCAAAGGCACCCTGGGGGTTGGAAGGGGGGGTGATATGGTTCCCCACCCACATCTAGCCTCCCCCTGTTTCATTTTGGGGTTGGTTTTTTTTTTTTTTTTTGGTCCTTCCTTTCAGCTGCAGAACAACCTGTGGCCAAGCTCCAGCCCTGGGAGCCCTGTGGGGCTCCTGCCCCCCGAGAGCATCCCAGCTCCCTGCGTGTCTCCGTACCCCCACGCCCACAGCAACATTGCCGGCTTCATGGGCATCCCTGCTTCTCCCGGCCCCCACCAC